TGGCTAATGCTTATAGGTTGTCCTCCGTGTCCGTGGAGTGGAACTGAAAGTGTTGCCGGTGTCAAGGACCGGTCCACTTAAGACTGCCATCCTAGCCGGGCAGGCTAGGGAGACAGACTGAATGAGATGTACTTCCCACGCTAGGTTCTTTTGTGTTTTTTTGTGTTACATCTTTTTTATTATAACTCGGCAGTGGTGGCACACACCTTTAATCCCAGCACTCGAGAGACAGAAGCAGGTAAATCTCTGAGTTCGAGGACAGCCTGGTCTACAAAGCAAGTTCCAGGACAGCCAGACCTGTTACAAAAAGAAAACACTGTCTCCAGAAACAGAAACTCCCACCTCCCATTTAAAAAAAAAAAAAAAAAAAAAAAGACTGCCATCCTTTGGTGCTAGCCTCCTGATGTCAAGTTTGTCCTGGGTTGGCAGGCATGAGGCTCGGCTCTCTAGAAGCTCTATTTCTATCTTAAACTTGCTGCCCACACACACACCCCACGGCTAGAGGTATCAATGTCATAGGGACGCAGGTGGCAGCTCAGGCACAAGGTTCCCTGGCTCTGGTCACTTTGCTGCTGCAGGGCCACAAGTCTGGGATGTGTAGAGAGCTGGAAGCTCTTCCAGGATCGAGCGAAAATAATGTATAATGGTCTTAGCACTCGGGAGGCACAGGCGGCCAACCCACGCTACAGAGACCCTATCCAAAAAATTAAAAGGAATAAATTTTAAACAAAGATATGGGTTCACAGGGCTGCTGTCGGGCTGTGAAGGGAAAGTGAAGGGAAGCTTTCAAGAATCATGGAGCCTCTATGGCTCAGTTTCCTCACCTTTAACAGCGGTAGCTGCCTCACGGGGACACGGGAAGACCGCTAAGTTAATGCACATTAAGCATTTAAGAGATTGACTACTAGGGCTGCTGCTTATCTAGTGTATATGAGGCCCTAGCTGCCAGCCCTGGCATGGGCACTCGGTGTCACTATCTGACCTAAAGCCTCCGAGCTGTGGTGCTGGAGTCAAAGGCAGGCTCTCTCCAGGGCAGGGTGTCTGACCCTGGTCAGCAAGTAACATTCAAATAGGACACCCAGGTGTCTGCTCTTCCTGCCAGAGAGAGCAAGATGCCTACAGGCTTCCTGGCTTAGGAGACATGGAGTGAGAAATGCATGTTTTTTCCCTGGGTAGAAGGAGATTACCCTCCACCCCCACCCCCACCCCAAGCAGCTAAGATTTACTGTCATCCTCTGACCCCATAACAGGCCTGGGGGGCATGAGCAGCAAACGCATCACCATCAACAAGATCCTGTCCAATGAGAGCCTCATGCAGGAAAATCAGTACTTCCAGGTGCGGGGGTGGGGGATGGGAGGGTGAGGGGGCAGGGGTGGGGTGAGGGGTGGGAGGGGGCGGCAGGGTCCGGGTGCACATCTGCCTGTCCTGGCAGAGGCTGCTTCTATGGAGAAAGGTCAGAGGCTTGGGGCTTTGGCCCAGGGGGACCTCCAGGAGCACCTGATGGCTTTGCTTGCTGTGCCTCTGTGCTGACAGGGACAGAGGGCTCAAGGAGCTGCAAGCCCAGCAGGAGACTTGGGAACGCAGTTGTCCAGAGGTGGCCATCTTATCTTTTGAACCTGCCTTTCTCATGCTATCAGGATGCGGGTTGTAGTAGGCAGCCGAGTCGGGCAATGGCAGTGAGGGGGGAGGGCTGGAGTGTCAACACAGGGTCAGGCAGAGTTTATTCAATGTTTATTCCAACCCAAAGCCCTGCTACTGTGTGGACTTCAGGCACAGCCTGAACAGCTCTGTGTCGGTTGGTATGTGCAGGTGCTGTCATAGCTGCAGAGGTTCAAAGCCTCACCCCATCCTCAAAAGCAGAGCTCTTAGATGCCCTGAAGCGTTTGGACAAGAGCTTGCATCTCACTCTGACTCCGTTCAAGCTGAACTGATTACTGTAGACAGGGCTTTTCTGAGCATCAGTTTGCTTAATCCTAAATCACTGTAAAACCCTGGTTTAATCACTGAGGTGGGAGGAAGTGGCAAGGGACCACCAATTAGCTCTTACCTGAAGGTCACAGAACCTGGTACAGCCTGGCCTCGGCAGCGGGGAAGGTAGGCAGCTACACAGGGCCCATTGAAGCTGAACCAACGCCTCACTGAGTGTACTGATCTCTCTCTCTCCATGATCCCTGTGAGAAACAAAGACACACCCCCGCACTCCATAATAAGAGCTCTGGAGCAGCAGAGTATCAAAAAGCCAGGCACTTGATCTTTGCAAAGACCATAGGAGCAGTGACCGACAGCCCAGGAGAGCAGACCCCTCCCCGCTTCCCTCATTAGCTGAGTAAACAGGAGGACACAGTCCTACCAGGTCACCTGGGCCTCTGCCACTGAAGTTTGTCTGGTTTTCAGCGAGGACTGTGCTGAATCCCGTCTGTTTATGCTCTGTGTATGTTACAGTTAACAGTTACATGGCTGTCAGGTCCGCCAGTCGCTAGGTGAGCTCAGCTGCTAGCAATTCTCTTCTGTAAAGTTCAAGTTTTTTGGGGGGGTGTGTGGATAGGCTAACAGAGCTTGGGGGTGTAGCTAGAATAGCAGGCATTAGTAGGAGTCCAGTGTTTGCTGTTTATTTGTAGCTGGGCCTCAAGTCACTTTTGAAAATGGACCATTATCCTGAGTGAGATAACCCAGAAGCAGAAAGACACACACGGTATATACTCAGTATAAGTGGATATTAGCTGTATAATAGTAGGATAAACATTCTAAGATCTATAGTCCTAAACAACAGGGAGGATCCTAGGGAAGATGCTCAATCCTCACTCAGAAAGGCAAACGGGGTGGACATCAGAAGAGGGAGAAAACAGGAAACAGTACAGGAGCCTTCCACAGAGGGCCCCTACCCTGAAAGAAAGACTCTACCCTGCAGGGTATCAAAGCAGATGCTGAGGCTCATAGCCAAACTTTGGGCAGAGTGCAGGTAATCTTATGGAAGAAGGGGGAGATAGAAAGATCTGGAGGGGACAGGAGCTCCACAAGGAGAGCAACAGAGGCAAAAAATCTGGGCCCAGGGGGTCCTGCAGAGACTGATGAATCAACCAGAAGCCATGCATGGAGAGGACCTAGACCTCCTTCCTTTTCTCCCCTCCCCCAGCGCTGCCTGGACTGGAACCGTGACATCCTTAAGAAGGAGCTGGCACTGACTGAGAGGGACATCATTGACCTGCCAGCTCTGTTCAAGATGGATGAAGACCATCAGGCCAGGGCTTTCTTCCCTAACATGGTGAGACTTTCTTCCCTGACATGAGGGACTCCAGCCCAGGCCCTCATGCCACACCCAGCACGGTAGAACCAACCAGCTCCAGAAGTACCTGGCTGAATTGCTCTGTGTCCTCACCTCTCTGGCACTTGCCCTCTATGAGAACCTCCGTTACCTGCTAGGTCCCCAGACCCTTTATTTTAAGAGATCGGAAAGTACTTTGCAAAATGTCACAGCACAAATCGGGCATACCTCAAAATCTGTGCCTCAGTTTCCCCACCTCTAAAGAAGGATCCGGATAACACTCCCTGCATAGGGCTGTAACAGAGGCTTGACACCCATACGCAAACCTGCTCCCCAAACATTCGCTCCCCTCCCAGGTGAACATGATCGTGCTGGACAAGGACCTGGGCATCCCCAAGCCTTTCGGGCCCCAGGTGGAGGAGGAGTGCTGCCTGGAGACCCACGTCCGGGGCCTGCTGGAGCCTCTGGGCCTTGCCTGCACCTTCATCGATGACATCTCTGCTTACCACAAGTTCCTGGGGGAGGTTCACTGTGGCACCAACGTGCGCAGGAAGCCCTTCGCCTTCAAGTGGTGGCACATGGTGCCCTGACTGGCAGGGGCCCCAGCCCTCCCTCCAGGTCCTGCCTGTGCCCCCACGTCCTACTCCTTCAAGAAGTGGGTGGGATGGGAGGTATTTGTGCCTTGTTGTCCCTGGAGAAGGGCCTCATCCACTGAAGCCACCACAGTAAGCTCAACCATCCCCCCTCCGAACATAGCTGGCTGGACACATGGCTTTAGTGTGCAGAGCTCTGGCAGGGAAGACTAGACTTCAACAAACCATGTAGTCAGACTATTCCCCCAAGAATCCTCTACTCCAGGTCAGAATGAGGGAGAAAGAAAGGAGGCTCTCCCGGCACTGTGCTCTCATGTTCAGGGTAGACCACAAGGGCCAGGACTTTGAACGCTACCGTCATTTCAAATTCTCCTCCCTCAGGGCCTCCAACCATTCATTCCTTATATCTTTCACCCTCTCCTAGCTTCCTGTACACACTGAGTAAGCACTCCCTGAGGGTCCAATCGTTCAGCTTAGACTCTCCTGGAAATAGATCTTAGAAGAGGAGAGTTCTTCACTGTCTGTGGATGCAGGCTGCCTAAATTTGGGGGGG